CCTCTCTCCCCTTACCACTCCTCCTTATACAACTCATCTTCCCCCTTCACCCTCTCTCCTGTCCCTCTCTTCCTCTCTTTCTTCTCTATCTTTTCATTTCTTGCCCCATTGGGGGGTCCTATGGCTCCCCCCCCACCTACCAGGATCAACTCACCTGGCCCCTGGTGGGCAGCGGCTTGACGCTGAAGTAGTAGCTGAGCGGGAGGGTAGCCAGAGCTGCCAAGGCCCAGATGGAGAGGAGGCAGGTGACCACCCTCCGTCCTTTCCAGGGCTTGGAGGGTTTGAGCCGGACGATGCTGACCACCCGCTCCAGGCTGACGGCGGCCAGGGAGAGGATGGTGACGCTGCCACTCAGGCTCAAGAGGAAGAAGAGCAGGTGGCAGACGGCCTCGCCCAGCGTCCAGCTCCCGGTCCAGCGCACCACCGCGATGACCGGGATGGCACTGATGAAGAGCAGGTCCGCGCAAAAGAGGTTGAGCACCAAGCAGCTGGCAGCGCCCGGCCGGCCCTTGCGGCGCAGCACCAGCCGGATGGCACCCGCGTTGGCCACCAAAGCCAGGGCGAAGATCGAGGCCAGCACCACCGTCTCCACCACGCTCAGCCCCAGGTGGACGCTCTCATCCTTGAAGTCCGAAAAGAAGGGGAAGAACGTGTCGTTCTCGCCAGCCCCGGCTCCGGGCATGGAGAGCCAAGTGCCCGGGGCATCAGGGGCACGAGCTGGGCGGAGGAGCAGCAGTTTTGGGTCCAGGAACCCCCCCTCTGCTCCCCCCGACCGGCCGCCTCCTTCCTTCCAAGCGAGCTCGGGGTAGATGGCGCACCTGGGCGCACCTGGGGAGGCGGAGGAGCGCTTAACCGGCCTGTCCCGCCGCAGGGAGGGGAAAGCGAGGACTTTACGAGGAGTAGTAAGGGGCGCGTTGGCAAGTCCTTGGCAGGTCCTCCTCCTCCTCTTCCTCCCCCGATAGGGCTTGGGAACCGAGAAGCGAAACTGCGTCCTCACCCACAGCCCGAAAGCAAAAGGGGGATCCGAGGGGAGAAGTTTGTGGAAGTAGTAAGAGTCTGCTCGCTCGAGTAGGGAGGGGAAAAAAGGAAGGGAGTTGTTTTACAACGCTTGGTAGGAGAGAGAGAGAGAGAACCTGCCCTGGGACCAAGTGAGGATTCAGGGCTACGAAGTGACAGAACCCCGAGGAAACTTTAGAAGAGGGGAAACGACCGAGGGATACAAGTAGTCTTAACTGAGCTAGTTTAACCCACTGGCTTTTAGAATGAGCAAGAGAGTGATTCCTGATTGATTGATTGATTGATTGATTAGCAATAGCAGTTAGACTTATATACCGCTTCAGAGGGCTTTCAGCCCTCTCTAAGCGGTTTACAGAGTCAGCATATTGCCCCCAAAACAATCCGGGTCCTCATTTTACCC